ACCTCCCACATGTCCTGTGTCAAAATCTGGGAGAGGTGAGCTGAACTGCAGTTGACTAGTTGGCACAGTGCTAGGTTTTGTAGACATTTAATTAAATGCTCATTAATTTCGATCTTGCAATTTTCTCTTTGTATTTTTGAGCTAATCATTTTTTTTTTCCCTTTCACATCTCAGACTTTTCTGTAGGCCCTTGACAAAAAGATCAAGGGCTCTTCTGAATGCCTGCACATCTCATGTGGTACTGGGCCCTGCCAGTGACTGGGCCTGAGTCTGTCCCTCCGGCTCAATGATGGGCTCTTGGTTGACCCCCTGGCTTTCGTCAATCTGGGGAGTGTGGGTCATGGAGGTCAATCAGCCTGGGGTCCTGCCCTCAAGGGGCCTCAGTTCTACAGCTGAGACTCAGCATTTCCAAAAGCAGAGGTTCTCCAGTCCCAAGAGGCTCTACACAGTGATTCTCAGAGGCTAGCAGTTCGTGGGGGTGGTGGGTGGGGTGGATTCCTGGAGGAAGCTGGAAGTTATTCAGTGGCTTTTTTAAAAGGTGGAGAAGAGGAGGGTAGAATGGGGGCCTGGAGTGCCAGGAGTCCAGGCTTAGAGCCCTGCTCCAGATAAATAATAGTGTCAACTAACACCTGCATCTATTGGGCACTTACTGAATGCCAGGCACTATGCTCTCATCATCTTATTTAATCTCCATAACATCTGTGGATGCAGGCAGGGCAGATAGGCAAAATACTTAATACCCACTACCCCATGTGTGGATACATCAGAGCCCTCACCACAGATGCCAGAGAGGTCCTCCAGGCCCCTGGAGGAGTTGGCCTGGAGTGTTTTGGTTGTGGGGGAGGGGAATTGTCTCTAGATGGGGCTGGGGTAGTATCACAGAACACCATTGGGTCCACTGGCGATTCACTGGCCTGTGTGGAAGCGCTGCAATATTTTAACAGGCTCAGCTGAGTATCAACCGGCACTATTATCGTCTTCGCTACTTTACAGCCAAGAAACTGAGGCTTGGAGAGAGGAGGTGACTTGTCACCACTTGCAGGAGGCGCTACCTGAATTCAGACCTACGTGCAGCTCACTTCTTTTACTCATTAGGATCCTAATGTTTAGCTGCCGTGCTCCAGCCCAGGGGGCTCACACCCTGGCTGTTTTTGCTTCCTGGAAAAGGCCTTGATGTAGCTGTCCCTGCTGCAGCCTCCAGCTCAAAGGGCAGCAGCTTAGGTGGGAGGAAGGGAAGAGTTGATCAGACCAGAGCCCAGGGCGGGCATGGCACCACTCTCAGGCCTGGAAGCTGCTGGCACCTGCCTTGGTCTCTCATCACCACTGGCCCCAGGTGAGAGAAGTCAGAGCAGGCCCCCCCCAGGGACTTGGCAGCATGACTTCCCTCGGATTGGATTCCCATTGAGGCTTCCTGCTCTGAGCCCTGAATCAAAAGCAGGCAGCAGCCATTAGTGCCCCAGGGTCCCCAGGAAGGCAGCCCCTTCAGGCCTCGGCTGGGACTTCCCTCCTGCCAGATTCTCGGGCCTTCAGAGCAGGAGAGGGCCTGGGGGAGGCACCGGGCCACAGGGAGAAGAGATCACACTGCAGGGCCAGGGCCCCGGGGGCTCAGACCCAGGCTTGGGTGAAGGAGGGGCTCCAGGAATCTGGGTGGGATGAGGGTGGACACCAAAAAGCACAGGGTTTGGACATAGCCTTTCCCTGAGGGCCTTTCCCTCATGGGGTTCAGGTCTCAAGGTGAGAGCTGTGGGGGGCCAGTGAGAAAAAGCAACGAATTTAAAAGGAATTAGTCAGGAGGAGGTGACAGGCCCATTCTGAAGCAAGATGAATGGGTTTCAGTTGGCGAAAATGATTCTAATTTATAATCTGCTTCTTGCCGCTGCTCGCCAATTAATTCTCTATAGATACATAAATAGGCCGCGTGTTTGCTTTGCTTCAAATGTAATAAACATTACACTCTGTCCTCTTCTTTTGTGCTGGTTCCTGTCACGGCATTAGTCCCCACAGCTAATTCCTCACACCTGTCTCTGCCACTCAGGGGAGCAGGCTGAGTGGGGAGGAAGTGCCCGGCTCCAGGAAACTCCTGGCATCAGGAGATAAATGACTGATCCGAAAGCTGCGGGCACACACAGAGAGGCTGGGCTCCCCACTTGCTCCTCAGGGGGGTCCAGGCAGGCAGGGAGGGAGGGAGGGGTGTACCGCAGCCTCCCCTTGAGACTCCTGTGTCACAAGCTCTGGGACCAATGAGTGGAGGAGGCAGGGAACCAGCAGCCGTCATGACTCTCTCTGCCCCCCATCATTCACCCCCAGCTCACAGGGCTCCAGACACCCAGGTTTTCTGGTTGTTCTTCAGACACTCCAGGCCTGCCCCTGCTCTGAGCCTTCACACTTGCTGTTCCTTCTGCCCCTAAAGAGACACCTCCTGTGTTTCTCTTATGTATCTCACCTAGCAGCGAGATAATTTCCTGACCCCTGCCTTCCAAAATCAGGAACCCCTTCTTCAACATTCCCTGTGTCCCTTTCCTGCTTTGAATCTCTCCTTAGCACAATCGAAACCTGTTGTACAATTTATTTTATAAATTTATCTTGTTTATTATCTTTCCCAACTGGAGTGGAAGTCCTTAAGGGTAACCCCTGTATACTGCTGTATCCTCAGAGCCTGGCACAGAGTAAATGCTCAATAAATATTTGTTGAATGAATCAGCGAAGTGGGGATGGGATGGGAGAGAGCAGCAGCAGGGGAGGCTGAACTGCCGTCTCTCTCCAGCTTGATGAGCTGTCATCTCACTGTCATTTGGATTTGCTGAGGCAGTGGACAGGGGGGTAGGAGCTGTGAGTAGAGGTGGTGATTTGCACAAGGCCACACAGTAGGCAATGAGGACTAGGCTCCCAGGTCTGGGCTCTTCTCTAAGGCAGCTCAGACTGGGAATATATACCTCACAGTAATTCGTCCAGGCAGCGTGGTGGAGAAACTGGAACTCAGGGAGGTGGCATGACTTGCCCAAGGTCACACAATCGTTGATTCAATGAAATGACTGAGTACCTCCTATGTGCCAGGCACTGTTCCAGGACATGAGGATGTAGCGGTAAACAAGACAGATATGATCCATGCCCTCACAGAACTCACAGGAGCGGGCATTGGACAAATTCCCAAGTAAATGTAAAATCAGGAAGTGATAAGAGCTAAGAAGATGAACCAAGGTGGGCAGATAGAGAGCGATGGCAGGGCTGGGGGGAAGGCAGTGCCACTTCACTTGAGCAGTCAGGGTCATAAGTCCTCTACGAGCACCCTGAGCAGAAACCCCACTGACCACCTTGTGAGCACAGAGCAAGGTAGGACTTCCACGCACGTCTCTCTGCTCCATGTGTGTTCTTTCCCAAACTGTGTTGTCACTAAAAATGAGCGTCCAGCGAGGAGGGAGGTGACAGCGGCTAGAGTGTAGAGTGAAGCAAGAAGCACTCGCTCTGAGTGGGTGAAGTGTGAGTCAGGGCCTGAAGCCTGGGTGGCAGATAACGGGTAACAAAGCATGGGGCAGGGGCCTCTCAAATAGGGGACACACAGGAGCGAAAGCCTGGAAATGGGAATGGCAGCATCAGGGAGAGATAACCGGCTCTGGGGGAAGACAGGGAATTGGGGGGATTGGTTTGCAGTGTTTGCCAATTTTCACTTATGAATACTCTCAACATGGCCAATTTCAAGGGCTTGCAAAATTCCTGAGAAATCTAGCATTTGGCTTTGACCAGTCAGTGTAAAGCAGCTCCAGCTGACCACAGCTTCAGGTATCGATAAGGGGCTCGCCAGACAGCATCCATATGGGGGGAGTACGAGAAATGGGTTGAAACGTACATGCAGAGCAGAGCATCCTGGACTCTCATATCCGAAAGGGCCCTCAGTCATTGTGAAATTATCATTTGACACTCCTTTATTTTACAGAATAGAAAACCAAGCCCAAGAGAGCCAGGGACTTGCCCCAAACACACAGAGTTGGGGCCCAAGCCAGGCCCGGTGGAGAGCTCAGACTTCTCAGGATAACTACCTCCATTTCTGCTGCTTCTTTAGGGATCATGATCCACAACGGCCCCAACAGACATGACAGTCAAGGGCTCGGCCATGTTTGTTGGGCGGAAAGGGGAATGACAGTGTTCCAAGTCCAATGGAATGCAGAGGTGGAAAAGCTTCATGCTATCTGGTTGGTGATAGTAAGCTAGGTTTTGAAGGATAAATAGGAGTTTCTTTTTTAGCAAGACAGACAAAAGAAGAAAAACATTGAAGGGGCAGGAAGGGCATTATAAAAGCTCAGAGTGTGATAAGAAAACTCAGAGCATTTGGCATAACCAGGATGGAGGATACAGAAGGAAGCAGCTGCTGAGGCAAGGCCCTGCCTCTCATGCTGAAGCACTAAGGGTGGGTTTTCAGGCAACAGGAAAAAGCTATTTTTAGACGGGTCCTCCTGTCTTATCAGAACCAGGTGAGTGAGGTGGGATGGCAAGGTGCCGTTTTGCGAATGATGGCCTGCGGGTGAGGGATGGCCCAGGTTCTCCAATGTCACAGCCTTTTCCCGCCAGTGCTCAGCCTGTGGCTCACCCCATGGTGGGTCTCCCCCCACCAAACCCCTGCTGATCCCCTTCCCCTCCTGCTGGCTGCTCTTCTCCAGGCCAGGAATAGAACCTCACATCTGACAGTCCTCAGCAGTGTTTAAATTTAATGGGCCCTCCTGCTTTTTTCCTCCTCAGCACCTGGGCTGGGAGCTCTGCAGCAGCCCTGGGGAGCGGCAGGTGAATAATTCAGGGAGAGGCAGTGTTTGAAGTGTTGGGGGTGCCTCAGCCTCCCACCCCAGGAAAGGGGGTTCAGGAGGGATGGTCCAGATGCTCAGGCCCTGTTCTGCTCTGTCTTTAGGGCCTTTAGGGAAAGCTCAGGGGAGTCCTATTCCCACCTCTGTGCAGCCACCGGCAGCCTCAGGGTTGCAGAGGCATCTAGGGCTGGAGGAAGGGAGACAGAAGGGAAAGGCACGCTTTCTTCCCCAGTGGGCTGCCCTGGCTTTGGATCTGGGTCGGACAGGAGAGAGAAGAGGGACAGAGTGTGCGGGAGGCAGAAGGTTGGGGCTTGGTTCCAGGAACCGCGGTGGGGAGCTGGGACGCAGGCAGAGATGGAGGGCGGGGCCTGGCGGGCGGCTGGATAGCCCCTGGGGGTTAGAGCTCGGCTTGGGCCTGGGGTCAGGTGTGCTGGGCAGGGCACTCTGGCAGCTTGGGTCCTGGATGGTTGTATAGCACTAGCAGGACCTCCCCTTGCCCGACAGTTCCCTGGGCGCTGGGCCACCTTTTCCATCTCAGCCCACTCCACCCCCGCAAACAAAGCAGCCCTTCAGTTTTCGAGCTTTGGCGCCTTTCTAGCCATCTTCCCTGCTTCCTTCCGTCAGTTATTCAACAAACATTTATTGATCATCTACTACAAAACAGATTCAGTCTTCAACTCCGGAGCTGTGCTTCAGGACTAAGCAGGAGAAGGAAGAGGGACGCAGGCTTTAATTCCCATTCTGTCCTGACTTAGTTTCTGAGTCCCCTGGCTAGTCACTGTCCCCTTTAAATCTGAGACCATGAGGCTTACTGATCCCACTTTGCTGACTTGTTATTCTCATTACAGCAAACGCTTATTCTAAGTGTCTTGCAGAGATTTGTTCAGTCTTCACCCTGCCCTCTGACGTAGACGACACCCTATGAGGAAACAGACGTAGATGATCACTTGCCCAGAATCACACAGCTTATAAGTAGGTGAGGGATCTGAACCCACAGCCGGGCTCCAGGAAGGGCACAATGAGCTGCTTGTGCTGGCAACGGGGGCTCGGCGCGTGTGGCACCTCTGAGGGTCCCCCTGCCGCCGGCCCCCGCTCCCGCCGCGCCCCGGCCCTGCCCCCGCCCCCTTCTCCCCTCCGCAGCGAGTCTCCGCCCCTGCTCAGGGCGCCCCGGCGGAGGAAGCGGGGTCCAGAGGCGCTGAGCGCTGGAACCCCTCGCGGGAAGTGGGGCGGGCCTCCACCCCATCCCAGCCCCTGGTCCCCTCCTGGGAGGGGCTGGGGTGCACCCTGGATGCGCCCCCACCGTCCCCCTGCGGGCTGGCGGCCTCAGTCCCCGCGCTGACATTTCTTTGGTTGTTCATGTCACGGCCCTTCAGTCTGCGCAGTTTTACAAATGTGCTGGCGAGATGAAAGGCGCCTGGAACAGCGACTGGCGAGCAAGTTCAGAAGAGCTTTTAACTTCCAGCTGCCACAGACAAAGGGGAGGAGGAGGGAGGGAAGGGGGGAGGAAAAAACAGAGGGAGGAGAAAATATATAGTTTCATAGTTTCTCTGTGCCTTGGTTTCCCCACCTATGAATTTATAATTTGGTGCTCTGAGAATCAAATTAACAAATCCTTGGGAAACACTTGGCTCGGGAAGAGAGTGGGGGTGGGGATTGGGAAGGAGGGCGAGAAGAGGTAGAGGAAGGTGGGGAGAAGGTGGAAAGGAATATGGGGGAAGGGAGGAGGGAGGGAGGGAGGCAGCCGTAGGAGACCAGGCCGTGGGGAGACGGGGAGACTGAGGCCTGGGGAAAGACAGATAGGGAGAGACAGAGAGAGGGGGGCAGAGAGAGTGCGGGGAGTTGGACAGGCCGAGTATGAAATGGATAGACACACAGACACAGGGAGGAAGGAAGAGAGAGAGAGGAGACAGCCAGAGAGGATGATTGAGGACAGAGGGACGAGGCGTAGAAAGAGACAATGAGACACTCAGAAAGAGAGAGACCAGAAGCAGGCATGGGGAGGAGACAGAGCCAGAGGTGGAGGGAGCCGGACAGACACGGTGGCAGAGGTGAGAAGGCAGGGGACAGATCTAATTAGACGGGCAAGGACAGGGACTGGGCTGCGGGTGAGGACAGAGAGAAGGGAGGCTCTGAAGGCTCCGTCCTGTGTGAACCAGTGTAGAAAAGGAGATAAGAGCCAAAGAAGGTGGCGCCTGAGCTGAGTGCTGCCTGCCCCTGTCTGTGCCCTTCGCCAACACCTGCTCAAACTCAAGCTGCCCTGGAGCAGACCCTGCAATTAAGGCATTCAGGCTGGAGCAGCGGTTCTCAGCTGGCGGTGATTTTGCCTCTCGGGGAACATTTGACAGTAGACACATTTTGGTTGTCACAACTGGTGTAGGGGGGACACACTATGGCCACCTAATGGGTAGAGACCAGGGATGCTGCTGAATGTCTCAGGGCAGACCCTACAACAAAGAATTACCTCACCAAACCATCACTAGTGCCAAGGGCTGGAGGGAAGGAAAGAGCCCTGGACACCGATGGCTTCTCTAAAGGAAGAACGTGGTCAGGGCATGGAGCGCTGGACACCCTTCTGATGGAGGTGAAAGGACTCACTCAGGAGACCCTTCTCGTAACCCGTCTAGCCATGCCACTCGCCCCCTCATCCGGCCTTATCCCATCCCTGCTTCGGGAAGAGTAGGTCTCCCTTACTTGTAGACTCCTCACGTTGTAGTATAATCACGCATACGTTCAGACCTCTGAGTACCTGCACTCGTCAGGCACTTACTTGCTCGGCAGTATCGCACGCCGGTTCCGTGTGCAGACTCTGGCTCCAGCCTGCCTCAGTTTGAATCCAGCTCCACCACAAACTACTTGTGTGGCCTTGGGCAAGTTTCATAGTCTCTCTGTGCCTTGATTTCCCCACCTACAAATGTACAACTTGGTTGCTGTGTGAATCAAATGAAATAATCCTTGCGAAACACTTGGCTCAGGGCTTGACACATGGTATGTGTGCTCTGAATCCTGACTGTTGTTATCCTCCCATTTGATCTGTACATCAACACCGTGGGTGGTGGCTTGCCCAACATCACTCCGCCTGCATGGGCAGAGCTGATCTCTGTTCTGTCTGGTGCTTCCTCTGTCACACACTACAGCACCTTGCTGCACCTGTCACACTGCGGCAGAAGTCCCTGCTTACCTCCTCCCATACTGGAGTGCGAGGTCAGGCCTAAGTGCCATGCACCAACCTGATCTCACTGCTTGCCAGCCATGTGATCTTGACATTTCAATCGTTTGTGCCTCAGTTACCTCATTTGTAAAATGGGGCTCATACTAATATCTGACTGTTGTGAGGACTTAAAAGCAACATCATAGCACAGAGCAAGCATTCAATAATCACTGATGGTGTGAGCCTAGCATGGTGCCTGGCACAGAGTGGACATTCAGAGGTTTGTTGCAGAAAGAAAGAATTAGAGATAACGGTGGAGAGGAGTCTGAGAAGAAGAGATCTTCAGCGAGAAAAAGCAGTGGGGAGAAGAGAGAGGGAGGTTAAAAGAAAAATACATGAGTAGTTCATTCAACAAATGCTTGAGACCTACTGTGTGTACACAGATGTAAGAGTAACAGTGTCTCAGACTAGAACAACCTGTGGACAATTAAATAGGTCTGGCATCTGAGATGAACAGCATACACCAGGGCCTGGAGGCAGAGGCAGGCAGGAGGGAAGCTGGAGCAAATGGCAAAAGTGAGTAAGTAGGAGATGCATCTGGAAGTGCTGGCCTCTGGTCTCTGAAAGCATGAAAGAGTGGAGGCTAAGAATAGAGAGGAGAGGGGAGGAGAGAGACTGCAAGGAGGGCGATGCAAAGGCAGGGCTGGGAGAGATCAATGAAGGGGGATAAAACGGGAGAAGGACTTAGGGGAGGGAACAGGCTGGCGCGATGGAGAATAAATCTCAAAATAAATAAAAGAGTGGTGGAGTTTGGTAGGAGGGGCAGGAGGGGCAGGAGGGGCAGCCAGCGGGAGAGGCACTTCCAGTCACCCGGGAGAGAGAAGGACCAAGGCATGGGGATGGAGATCAAAATGAGGGAGGGAGGCAAAGGAGGGAGCAGAATGGGATGCGGTGGAGCCGGGGTCCCTGAGGACCCACAGGGGCCCTGGTGGGTCCTGCTCCCTTGGCCCTGAACTTCAGCAGCTGATCATATATCATTATGTGTCTGGTCAGTGACAGCCTGACGGGACAGAGGTAGATGGTGGTCCTGTCTCCTGCTATCTTTCACTCACCTGACAACCCTTTGGTGGGGCTCCTTAGGCGGCTCCCAACCCAAGACAATAGGTGGATCTACCGAAGTGATTGGTCCTAGCCCTTCATCAACAACCTCATACTGAAAACCAAGGATGGGGGGTGGTCTCCCCAATTAGGCTTCATCCTAGGGATATGGGACTGAAGAGAAAGCCATGTAGCCAGGGGAAAGAAACTGGGCCTGACAGAAAAGACCTCAGGCAGCAGGTTAGCTGGATTTTAAAGAGAACAGCAAATCTGGCCTGGATGGTGTTTCAGGACAGTGGGGGTGCGGGTGTTATTGGCAGGCTCCCGGGCCAAGGTGGCGCTGAATTAAGGGTGGGGCTCTCTTACCAGTTTTCTCTGTTGCTTGCAGGATGTCCAGCATGCCCACCCTCCTCCCCCTCCAGGAAAAGCCCTGGTTCTCCTCCTGGGACACTAACCTCACAGCTCCCTGGAGACTGGTCCCCCAGCCTCTGTCCACCTCAAAGGGTGGTGATTGCTTCTGAAACCGGCGGGTCTGTGCAGGGTTTTCTGGGCAGCCAGCTGGGGGTGGCCACGGGAGAAGCCTGCCCCCACCCTCGCCTTCGCCCCCTCTCCTCTGAAGCCGGGCTCCCATACTAGTGGGAGGGAAATGGGGAGCCCTAGACACAGTGAAGTCAGATGGTGGAGAGGATCGTGTCTCCTACTGGGGCCTCCGGGGCAGCTGCTAGGCAAGGAGGGTGATAGTCCCCCTCCTGGGGGCGCTCCCTTCGCGCGGATCTGGGGTTGGAAGAAGGAGGGGTACCGCTCCCCCAGGTGTTTCCTGGGACTGGGCTGCCCGCGGGCTGGAAAGGCCGGCCGCTCCCGGCGGGGGAGGGGCGCGATCCGGGGGACCGGGCCCCCCGGCTGCGGGCTCCGGGTTCGGCGGCTGCCTGCGGCTCGGCACGGCGCTCCCGCCCGGCGGGCGCTGCATTCTCCGAGTCTCCACCAGAGGCTGCGGGAGGAAGGAAGGGAGCCGTCCCTTGCACACTTCCCCCCTAGTCAGACACGCACACTCCCTCGCTCCCGCTCGCTCACTCCCTCGCTCTCTCGCTCACACACACACACGCGCGCACCCGCCGCCGCGGCTCCCTCTCTCGCGCCCGCTCTCCCTCCGGCTCCTCCGGGCAGCCGCCGGGCTCCGGACTCGTCCTCCCGCGCCGGCTCTCCCGCCCCACGCAGCGTCCCGAGGCGGCAGGGCTGGGGGGAGCCCCGGGCCGCTCCCCGAGGTAAGAGCGCGGGGGCAGCGGGAGGGTGGCCGGCTCGCGTCCGAGGGGAGGCTGCGCAGCCGGGAGGGAGCCCCCCGGCCGGCGGGAGCGGCCCGGAGGGGGCTCGGGGGCCGAGCCTCCAGCCGCAAGCAGAGCCCGGGTGCCCGCGCCCGGCCCCGCGCGCCCCCTCCTCTCGGCGGGGCGGGCGGGGAGGGAGTTTCCCACGTCCAAACTTTCCCCGGCGCGGAGCCGAGCCGCCTCTCGGCCCGGAGTCCGCGGCCCTCCCCGTCCCCCAGCCCCGCCCGCCGCGCGCCCCAGAGCCTCCGGGACCCCCACGGGCGGCGGGGCGGCAGCGCCAGGGGGCCGAGCCCGCGCGCCGAAAGGCGCTGGGGAGGTGGCGCGCGTCCCGGCGGGGACCGGGACCCAGGCGTTCCCGGCTGTCCCCCCACCCCCGCTGCCAGGGCTCGGCTCCCGGGCCCCTCCCAGAGGCGGGGTCCGGGGCCGGGAAATACCGCCCGGCAGTCAGCGTATGCGCGCGGGTGTGTGTGAGAGAGGTCGTGCGCGTCCGGGGGTACCCAGGGGCGGGCTCCAGCCGCGGTGACACGCACGGCTGCGGCCACCTCGCGAGGAGGGGCAGCTGGCCCACCGGGACCCCCGCCGCCTCACCGGCGCGACCCCGCTGCCCTCGGGCCGTCGGGCCGGCCCGCGGACACACGGTGAGCCAGAGGCAGAGCTGCCGTCTGTCCTGGGACCGCGCTGCGGGTGCACTGTCCCTATGGAAGAACAGGGCCTGACGGCCTCACGTCCAAAGGGAGAGCCCTTGGGACCGACGCTCGGAGGCCGGAGCGGGCGCTGAACGGGGAGTTGTGCGTGGTGTGGCCGCGTTAAGTGCTGGGCGGCCCGCCACGGACTAGGTTGGAGCCGTCTCAGTAGCGTCCCGGACTTGATCTCCCGTCTCTTATTTCTCTGGCCCTGTCAGGCCCCTTCCCCACGGTGGGGACGGTAGGAGACCACCAGACGAGTTGCAGCGGGAGGAGCTAACCCGGAGTCCCTCGAGGTCTTTCCTCGAGGGGCACCTCCTGGTGGCGCGCAGAGAAGCGGCCGCTTGAAGCCGGCCGAAGGTTTCCAACCCTCGCGCCTCTGGGAACCCTCTTTCTTCTCTTAACACCCCTTCGGGCCTGGCCAGAGGTTACGCATGCCAACTTCATTTTCCACGGGTCTGGTTCCTGCTCTCTCCGGGTCCCTCGGGCTGGCCAAGGTGCCCTCAGCACAGGCAGCGACTCATTTGAGGTCTTTGCCTGCTGCCAGCCCTCTGCGGGTTCCTCCATAGGAGTTTTGGATCGTATCCTCTTCTTCCCCCACTAGTCAGCGCCACTGTCCTATATAGGCATCGCTTCTGTCTCGGAAAGCCATAGGCTCCTTCCTACCCATCATGCCCTTCTGTCCGTCATTAGTACCCCCCTACACTTGCCCATCAATGCCCACTCTGTCCCCCTTAATCACTGTTATTTTACAGTCCTTCTTGGAATTAAGCCCCGGTACCAAGGATATCCTTTGGTCTTGGCCCATCTGTGACCATTTCTCTTCCGCCCTTCTTCCATCCTGCCTGCCTCAGCTTCTCTCTTCAGCACTCACCTGTTCCCTGCCCCCCTCCCTGCCCAACCGCTTCTCCACTCCACCCCTGTTCCTCTCCCTTTCCCAGACTGGGATGCTCCTCTTCCATTCCTCCTGGAAGGGAAGGCCACCGTTGACATTTAAACACTGCTTCCTGGGGGCATCTGCATGCCCCTCTGGGACTACCCCTGCCAGTGCCTCGGGGGCTTTGCAAAAGCCAGCCAGGTCTCTCTCAACCAAGGGGCAGCTGCCCTTCCAGAGTGGCCCTCCCGGCTGGCTCTTGGAGATGAGGACCCTCCCTCCCCTGTTCCTGACTGTGAGCACATTAGAGACCGCCTGGGTCCCCTCTTTCCCATTTTAAAGTATCGAAAACAGAGGTCCAGGCCACACAGTAAGCTATAGCCAAAGCCACAATGGAACCCAGCTGTCTGACTTCCAGGCCTCACCAACTCTCCTTATATGTTGGGCAGGTCTGGGGGAAAACAGGACAGTTTCTTGCCTTCCCACTGTGAGCAGAACAGCAATAATAAAAGCCTGCTTAAATGCAAGGGATGTTTAAGTTAGGCCCCCAGTGCTCCACGCCAGTACCCCGGGGGAAGCTACTGGAATGCCTTTGATGGAGAAGCCTAAGTAACAGATGCTGAGGATGCAGCTCAGCTCCTAAAGGGGTTGTGAAACCCCCGGCAAGTCAGCCCTGTTATAAAAAAAAGCATGAGTGCGAGGGGGTGGCTGTGATCTCAGGGAGTTTCTGGTGGTCTGGAATAATACTTGCAGTTCCCCTGCCGTTTCCCAAGGCTCTGCTTTATTTCTGAGGCCTCTGCAGGAGCGCTGGACCCCAAAGCCCTCTAACAGGGTAGGACAGGGGCCCCAGGAGGGCCTGTCCCCTCCGAGTTAGCAAAGTTTGGAGTGGCCAGTTTATTTACCACATGAGCTATAGGAACCAGCCAATTAGATTTACTTTTCTTTCTGTTTCTTCCTTCCTTTTCCTTCCATCAGGAGGTTCCATTCAGAAATACGGCCTCAGGTATTCCAAGAGAAGAGGGAGAGAGGGAGAGAGAGAGAATGATTCCTGTTTACGTAACTCAGGCAGCAGCCGGTGCAGCTTGGCCTGGGAGGGGGCGGGAGCTGAGGATAGAATCAGGTGGTTCTGGGGAAAAGGAGGCCTTGAGGAGGTGGTTTGGGCTGGAGCCTCAGGGCTGAGGGCTTCCCCATCCTGCCCCGGACTTGACCCAAAGAGGGCGCTAGGGGTCAGAGACAAGATGGGGAATTCAGCCTTATCAGGCTGAGAGAAGACCCAGGCCTCAGGCCAGCCTCAGGGAGAGAAAGCTCAGGGACCCAGCGAGGGTGTGCATACCCTCCACCTGCGGGGGACTCCTCAGAGCGCCCTTAAGATGGAGCTCTTGACTAGAGGCCCTTGCTTTCTGGAACCTTGTGTTTTGATATAGGCCTCTCTAGAGAAAGCTGTGTGTGTGTGTGTGTCCCCTCCCACCCCCCATTCAGGACAGGTTCTGACCACAACTTTTTCATCAAGGCATTGGGCATAATTGGCCTTTGTCTTTTTTCCCAAGGAGGAGGCAAGGGGTAACAAAGTTGCCTGCAGAATGGTCTGAGCTCTATGTATCTGCTAGAGAGAGAGAATGTTTTTCTCATTGAGGATGATGCAAAGTGGCTGCTGGGAAACAAGGGGGCAAGACAGGGTAGGTGGAGACATGGCTGTGATGTACAGTTGGGCAGGTTGTTGGCTGTCCAAGGGCACTCAGTGCAGGAGGGGAGTAGTGGCTGAAATCCATCTTAAGCTCCACTCAACAAATCAGGTGCCTTAAAGACAAACTGTGTCCTCCTGGAGGAGGGGATACCTTTCTCTAATTTGCAAGAAAAGCTTCATACACTCCCCAGCCATGAGCCTGTAGGGTTACATGCACCAGAGGAGGATGCTTTTCTTTAATCCCCAGAAAGGTGACCTAACTGGGGGTTAAGGATATACAAAGTCTCACTCCTTAGCCTAGTTTTCATACAGTGGAGACACACTCTCCTGAATATGTGAATCTGGGTCTGAACTTCCTCCCCTGCACTTCCTTCCACACCCCATCAGCAGGCACCTTCCTACTGTCACACTGGACTTAGGCTGAAAACTTCTTGCTTCCTCAATCATCCACTTCATACCAGTCCCTCCTCTGTGTAATATAAATAGTTGATTAAGAACATGAGCACTGGAGTCAGACCAGCCTGGATTTGTGACTTGCTGGCTGTGTGACTTTGGGCAAGTTATTTTGCCTCTCTGAGCCTCAGTTTTCTCCTCTGTGAAGTGGAAATAAAAGTAATACCTACCTCACTGGGTTGTTGCAAAGATGAAATGTGCATGAGTCTGTATGGTGCTTAGCCCCGTGCCTGGTACATAGGGCACTTCCTAAACAAAGCAGTATTGTTACTGTTGTTATCCCTCTGTTTGCTGTCCTTGATGCCCACAGGGCTAGAGGCGGCTCTTTCTGTTTGGTTTGTGTGTGACTCTGGCTGCCTGCACCCCTGTAGGAGGGTGAGGTCTGTCTCTGACCTCAGGATCCTTTGAGGGATTGCTCAGGCTCTGCATGCGGCCAGGACATTGGAACGTGTTCTAGATTCCCGATTCATTTTGCCCTACTCTCTGCCTTTTCTCCCCTCCCACCACCCCACGATCTCTGCTGTGGCTCAGGTCTCACTAGCTTTGCCTAAACCATGGTGGCAGACTCCTGCCTGGCCTCCTAGCTTCTGATGCCCTCCTACCGCAATCCCTGCTGCAACCAGAGCGATCTTTCTCTAACGCAGGTGGGATCATGTCACTTGCTTGATTAAAACCCTTCCATGGCTCCCCATCGCCTACTGAATTAAGTCCAGACTCCACACCATGACATTCAAGGTCCTTGTAATCCGTCTGCATCCTCCTTTATCTCCCACTGTGCCTCCAATCCAACACTCCTGCATTCAGCCACACCTGCCCTTCTACCTGCCGCCCTTCCCTTGAAGATTTTTCAAAACATTAAAAACTGAACTCAAATAATTCCATCCATCTGTCTGTCTGGCCATTCATCTTATTCATCATCCAGTTTAAAATATATACCTACACATACACAGTAAGTGTTTGCTCTATGCTAAGCATTCTGTTAAATGCTAGAGATGCAACAGTGAGCAAGCAGACCGGATCCCCACGGACAGGAGTCTGGTGGTCTCAGGAAGGAGACAGACAATTAAACAATTCTCATAAGCCACGATATGAGCCATTGAGGGGAGGGGAGGGCAGCAGATGCTTCCGAGAGGAAGTGGCATTAAAGCCTGCAGGTTGATTAGCAGCCCTCTGTGGGATGAAGGTGGGGATGGAGAATGGGAGCAAGGAGAGCAGGCTCCAGGCCAAGGGGTGAAGGAAGTGAGGGAGGGTATTGGAGGAGCTGCAGGTTCAGTGGGCAGAAGTGGAGTGTGTAGAGATGGCGTGCAGGTGTGGGAGTTACAGGAAACGAAGCCCGCGAGGTGGGCAGCAGCCAGGTCTCAAGCATCTGGAAAGCCACAAGGAGGAGGTTGGACTTCAACCCAAGAGCAGTAGGGAACCATGAGGGGTTCCATCAGGGGGTGGTATGGTGGGATCTGCCTGTAGGAGAAGCCTGGCCCTGCTGCTGGGTGGAGAGTGGATGCATGGGGAAGATGAGGTCCAGTGCCACTGGTGGCTGGACCTGGGCAGCTTAGGGTGCAAGAGCAGAATGGTCAGCTCTAGGAGGCTGCATGGACTTGGTGGATGGAGGGGAGACTGTTTCCTGCTTGGGAGGTGGTGTGGGTCATCAGGGGAGCTGTTGTGGACAGTGCATGTGAGATGTTCGTGGGAACACAGTGCAGATGCCCAATAGGCTGCAGTGCAGGGAGGACGGGCCACCCTGAGCGCTCTAGGCTGGAAGTAGTTTGAATGAAGGATGGATGAGATCAGGTAGAATAAGTCTGTAGAATGAGAAGGACCTTGAGGGACCCCTTAATTTCAAGGACAGGTGCGTCCCAGGAAGTCTTCTATGACCCATCTAGGGATGCGTGACTGCCATCTATCCTGAGCCCCAAAGCAATTAGTTTAGTTTCTTTTCATTGCCTGCCTCGTATTATCCACTAGACCTGTGGTTCTCAGCCAGGGGCAGTTTTGCCTCTAGAGACATTTCTGGTTGTCACAACTGGCTAGAGGGCTACTATCGGTATCTAGTGGGTGGAGGCCAGGGATGCTGCTGTACAACCTACAGTACCCAGGACCAGCCCCCACAATGGAGAATTATGCAGCCCCAAATGTTGATGGTGCTCAGGCTGAGAAGCCTGGCTCTGGATGAGAAGATCCTGAAGGCAGGCCTCGGCCTTTTTCATTTTGGTCTCCCCAGCGTCTAGCACGGCATGTGGCGCAAGGCAAGTGCTCACTGCGCTCGCTGAATTAAATCCGGGCTGGAGGACGGTCCTCGGGCCACACAGCATTAAGGTGTGCAATACTTCTGCCCAGCCCTACCCAGGGTGGCCTGGCCCCGTCCAGCGGGCTGGACCACGTAGTTTTACAGACACTTTAGCCAGGAGGGAAGGAAGCCAGTGGAGGCAGGCTGCCGGAAAGCTGCCAAAGACCTCGGTGGGTGAGGACATGCTGCTGTGTGTAGTGTTTTCCCTGTCTTGTTAACTTCTGTCATTTCTTTATCACCCAAGTAAATATATGTTATTTTTTTAAAGCCACGCACGTTATAGATACACAGGCTGAGGAAACATGACAGCCTACTGACTAAGAACAGGGGCTCTGAAGTCAGAGAGAGTCAGGTTTAAATCCTGGCTCTGCCACTTGCTAGCTGAGTGAGCCTCTGTTTCCTCATCTGTAAAATGGTTTTAATGAACCTACCTTGTCAGACTGTAGGGAAGAACAAATGAGGTGATATAGACAAAGGCTCGGTGCAGTGCTGGGCTTGTAGGAAGTACTCAGTACAGAGTAACTATGTGTGTGTATGTGTGTGTAAATTTATATGTATGTGCATGTCTTTTTATGTATGAAAGCATGTATTTTTAATTAGCCATAATCCCACCACCGCTTGGCTACCATTTCGGTGCATATCCTTCTTGACATATATAGATTTTTAAAAAATAGAAATGGCATCTTGCTTTATACATATGTCTTTGTAACCAGCTTTTTTTCACTGTGTAATATATTGTGAATGCTTTGCCATTTCAATAAATATACATCTACATCATCATTTTTTAAGAGCTGCATGGCTCTCCATTGTGTGGCTGGGCCATAATTCATTTAGCCAGCCCCCACTGTTGGTCATTTGGGTTGTTTCCAATCCTTTGCGATTACAAACAATTCTGCGATGAACATCCTTGTACACGCTTCTTCACGCGCTTGTACATTGATTTCCTCGGGGACCACTTGGACATTTTTGGCAGGAGGCATGTGGCCCTGACCAGATTCCTCAAGTAGAAGCCCTGGGGCCCAGTGAGGAGGGGGCTGGGGGGCTCCCCAGGGAAGGGAGAGGATGCTCGATGCCAGAGAACTGTTTTGGCTCCTGGAAAGTAGGTTCTGATATTAAGACTTCTCTGTGAGTGAGAAAAAGGAGAAGCCCCTCCCTATCATTCTGTTGTCACTGTGGTGCTGCAGACCTGTAGGGGACCTGGGGTGGGAGGGGACCGTGTGTGTGTGTGATGGGCAAAGTGACAGACACCAGGCAGGCGGGGAACACAAGGTGGACGGGCCCAGGCAGGCTGATGGATGGGTACCAAGGCAGATGGATCCGGGTCAGTGGGCAGACAAGATGATGGGCAGTGATGAGCTGGACAGGTTCAGGTGACCAGACATAGGACTGTGGCCCCACAGTGCAGCCCACTGGAAGAGGGCATGGAAATGGTGTATTCAGGGACAACGGCGAGTTCCTGGGTGGTGCAGCCAGGCCCCGAGGCCCAGAGGCTCCCAGAGCATCTCTTCTGTTCTCTGTCATCCAAGCAGCTGTGTTTAGAATTATGCATTTTAGGGCTGAAAGGGCCTTTAGGGGTTGATGGGCCCAGCCCCATTATACAGATGGGGAATGAGGCCAGTGGGAGCAGGGGACTTGCCCGGGATCCTGCAGTGTCTCAGCAGCAGACTGAGTCTCTGGTCTCTGGTTTAGTCTATTTTCATTTCCATTTTTCTCAAATGAATCCCTGATTTAGGCTTGAAGGGAAAGGGATAGGTTGGCAGAGGGGGAGATTACGGCACAGCGGAGACACCTGGGAGGCAGAGTGAGCCTTGGGAATTTCTCTGTCCAGCCTGCTGCCATGATTCCACCTGTGCCCCGCTGCTGGGTACTGCTGAGAGCACAGACCCAGGAGCAGGACCACTAGGGTCCCATTCCAGCTCTGCCGCTTACTAGCTTAGTGACCTGAGATAAACTGCCCAACCTGTGCCTCAGTTTCCTCAACTGTACCTACCTTGTGGGTTTGTTGAGAGGATTAAATGAGTTACTAGAAGCAAGGCACTTAGCACCTGGCCCACAGTGTGGCTCTATGAACATTACACCACTTGGCCCCTATTTTTTCCTTTTAAATTGTGTATGTGTTTGTGTGCCCGTGCACACTCACACACCTACATGAGCAGGCTGTGTCCCCTTGAAGACAAAGATTGTGTCTTTCTCATCCGATATGCTCCCCCGTCACCATCAGGACCCTTTAGCCAGTTGGGCATGTAGTAGGTACTCAATAAATGTGGGTGAAGCAGGTCATTGGATGATAGCTGGTTAAAGGGATCAGGGGAGGTTTTGTTGGGGAGGCAGCATTTGAGCTGTGTGTTGAAGTACAGGATGGCTTTGCTGCAGCTGGGGGTGACAGGAACGGCACCCCAAGTGGTGGGGATGGCATGAGCAAAGGGGGTTGAAGCTTGGTGAATGTTTGGGTGACAGACAGTTGCCTGGTTTAACCAGAGCACAGAGGACATAAAGGAAAGAGTCAGAGAGGCCTGGAAAGGGGAGGTTCGGCTGACTTGAGAAGCGTGGAACTCCAGGCTGAAGAACGCAGGCTTGCTGACTGGAGTTGAGCTTTAGAAAGATCCTGTGATGGCATTGTTTTAGGCTCAAACTCTTTAGAAAAAAGAAGGGAAGCAGGGAGGGGCAGCTGAGATCTTGAGGAGACAAGCTGGGGAGACCATGGAGAATAGAAGCCAGAACAGGTGTCAAGGAACTAGGACCAGCAGGACTGTGGAATATGTGGGAGATGAGGGCGAGCAAGCAGTGAGATAGGAGCCGGTCTCAGGCCTGAGTGTCTGGGAGAGTGGGGTGCCACTAGCTACGACAGAGCAGTCTACATCGCAAGATATGGGAAAAGTTGAGATGCCAGCTGGGATTATTCATCCACCCAGCGTCCTGTCTAAGCCATCTATTCATCGGTCCATCTATCATCCAATCCATCATCCTCCATCCTCCCGCCTCCATTCGAACATCCATCTGCCCGCAGTCCACCCGCCTTCACCTGTCTCCACCCCGCCTTCCGTCCACCCGCCAGCCACCATGTGCTCCCGCCTTTCTTCTCATTTCCTCGCTGTCCGTCCATCCGCTCGCACTCATCCATGAATCCACCATCTTTTTTATCCAGCCAGTGTAAATTTCTTGGGAGCCAACAGTGTGCGAGGCTCTGGTACTAGGCCTAGGATGAGCCAGGCCAAAATAGGGCACCTAGCTGACAGGCTGGGAGTAAAGAGCACACTTAATTGTCAAATCAACCCTAGAAGGAGGGCCTCCCATTCTCCTCACCTGGCCCACCCTTCCATCAGCCAGCATTTCTCTCACGCAGCCCTCACCCCTCCTGCAGCTTCGATTAAGTCCTTGATCCCCTCACCAAGTCTTTGTCCCCTCGAGACCACAGTTCTCCCAAATCCCAGCCCCCCGGCTGAGGCCCCCACCGGAACAACCTCAGCAGGGCCCCCACCTCTTCCCTGAGTGAAGGTCCTCTCCTCTCATGGCAGGGAGCCCCCCTTCCCTGGGATCCTCAACAGAGTTCTGCTGCCCTTGACAAGAGCCCCAGCCCCCTGCAGAGCCCTCGCCCACCCCTGGAGCCCTGAATCACTCCTTGAGCATCATCCTTCCTGGGGACCAGGCCCCTCCTGGAGGCCCTAGCCACCTCACTTTGCCCCTGGCCACTTGCTGGCACGCACTTCTCTTCCAGAGGCCCGTTCCTAACAGAATTCTGTTCCCCTGTTCCTAACAGAATTCTGTTCCCCGTCTGAGCTCTCCTGCCCCTCTGGGCCGTTCCCTCCTGGAGCCTTCCCACCCCTTGCAGAGCCCTTGTCCCACCCCCACCGCAGCGCTGCTGCTGCTGCTGCTGCCGCTGCAGGGACCAGACTGCCCTCTCCTTCAGGCACTGCCAGCCCACAGGTGGTGGCTCCAGCTCTGACGCCATCAGGGGCTCTACATCGCCCCAGGCAGCCCACAGACCCTACCCTGCAGCTGGCTCTGTGCCCTCAGGGGCTCATAGGTCCCCGGTGGCAGAGACCAGCAGCTTTGGCCGCTAAGCTTGGTTTGGCTCTTGGGCTGGAAGAAGCTGGAGACTCTTGCTGCTTCTGGGTTAGGAAAACAATCACTAATTAGAGAAAATGCTTTGGGAAATTGCTCTGCTGTGTGAGAGGGAGGCTGCCTTGGGAGGGAGGGAAAGAGGCTCCTAAGCCAGCAATGGCTCCCCATGGCCTCATTCATACACTCCAAACCATCTGTGTGGCATTCCAGACCTATCGCTTCATCTGACATGGTCACCCACTGAGCTCCAGCACACTCCTGCTCTAGCTAAGCCATTGCTCCAAGCTCCATCCCCACCTCTGCTCACCCGGGCTGAGCCCTGCCATCCATTCCGTCTGAACTGAACACCCCTTCTGCCCTCCACAAGCCCTTGTTACCTGTCTCGTCTCTTTTATAGTCCTCAGGGACAGGAACCATGTCTTGTACTAAAGGCAGACAGAGGCAGACACATCTAGTCACCCATCCTCATCCGAGACATATTGGCTGGGTGGCTTTGGGTAAGTCTCTGACTCTCTGAGTCTCCGTTTCCTCATCCGTAAAATGGGGATCTCCCTTACTGAGTGATTATGGCAAATGAATGAGGCAATGGGCACACAGCGCCCTGCTCACAGTAGATACTGAGTCAGTGAAGGTGCCCCTCTCCCTTGCAGCCAGATCAAAGTTCGGGCTGTGCGGGCCAGCATCTATCTGTGAATGTCCATTGATGAGCAACACCCCCAACTACTTGCTGTCTTCCTGTCTATCCACCATTCCCCTACTGAGAAGATCCAAAAAGAGGGCCCCTGAGCTTCAGGGAGAACCCCGGGGGGTGCTCTCATATGAGACGATAAAGCATCTTATGTCAGGGGCAATTAGGATGGTAGCCAAGAGCTTGGATTCTCTAGCCAGACTCTCTGGGTTCAAGTCCCTCTGGTGCCCATCCCTAGCTGTCTGACATTGCATAAATCGACCACCTCAGTTTCCCCGTCTGTAAAATGGGTATGATAATCATAGTACCTGCTTATGGTGGGGATTAATAAGCTAATATTTGTAAAGTGCTTAGAACAGTGCCTGGTTCCTAGTGAGCTCTACAGTAAAAGGGTTTGTTTAATAAAACTGATGAGGGATTCAGAACACAGGAGTGGACAGCAGGAGAGCTCAAGCAAGACAGGAAATGGGCTTTTGGAATTGGATTTTTGCAGAGCTTGGGTCCAGCCAGCTGCCCATCAAATTGGCCTCTTTCTGAATGTAAAAAGGCTTTTTGTAGAGACCACTAGAATGCCTCATTTGGAGAAGATGAGCCCAGGGACGTCGCATGAAGAGGCAGCCTGGGAAAGGGACCCAGAGCTCTCTGCAGGGCCCTGTGGGTCTCACCTGCCCTTTCTCTGGCCCAGTGGAGGCTCCTGACATGACTACTCTCCTCCTACCAGTGAAAGATGAAGCAGAGCGCAGTGTCAGCTTGATGGAAGTGGAGTAAATCACTTTGTCAGGGGGTCTCAGAGAATTCCCTCCCGCAGTCTGACTGAACAGGAAGTATTGCTCTGTGCTAGGTCTGTGCTGGGCACCGGGAGGGTACAGTGGACTGGTCATGGTCCTTGCCCTTGAGTAATTTGGGAGGTATACCCAATTCCTGGAGTCCCTCCTCTCCTTGGGCCTCAGTTTCCTCACTTGCCTTCTTCCTTTTTACAGAGCCTTCCATCTGCCCCTCTCTTCCCTTCCTCCTCCCAAGGCCCCTCCCCAGGCAAAGGATGGGAGGGGCCCCGTGGAGGAGAGAGAGTTTGTTCCAACTGGAGGCATGGCCGGAACTTCTGATTGGCTGATCAGAACCATTCTTTTCTCTGGTTGCCATAGCATCCATTTCCAGGGGTTGTCAGTGATGAAACTCATAATATTGTTTTCAAATAATCCGTGTAATTGAAATAACAATTGAGCTGTTAACTCGTCTCTCACACCCTGGCTAGGACAGATCTATCCTGCACCCTCCCACCCACCCCAGGAAGCTCTGGCCCCTCCCCACCCCCTCTCCAAGGCCCAGCTCCTTCCTTGAGATGGAGGAAGAAAGAAGTGCCTTTATTATAGAATCCTAGAAACTCAGGCCCTCAGAGCTGAACCAGGACTTAGAAATCAGAACCCCCCTCCTTTTGCAACCAAAGGCACAGAGGACAGAGGGACTTAACCAGGGTCACACAGGAGGGAAGCGGCTGAATGAGGACACGAAGATTTGTTTTATAGTAAAAGTTGGAGTGAATGTGCTGCACTGAGTAGTTGATGTAAAATCATAGAGCTGCCCCCTTCTAAGGACTTGATTTTGTATGACTTTTTACCCACCCCTACCTGCATTTTATAGGTGAATAAACTGACACTCTGAGCAGTGAGGCTTAATGCACATGTTTTTATAACTTTTCAGAAAATGCCTGTTGAATGGATGGATCTCAAAGAGCACAGACCATTTCTCTCCCTATTCACCCCTGCCCACCACCCAGGAAGAGATATCTAGTCTCTTTAGTCAGAGGACTTCCTGGAAGAGGGGATTGAGGGTAGGGAGAGATTCCTGGAGGAGCTAAGAGATGGAGGGATTCTAAAGTACTGACCCTCACCCCTCTTTGTGTCCGAGGCTCTATGTTCAGAAGCATAAATGTGAAGAATGCAGGTCCCTGCCTAGTGCTCAGCCTGGGATGGATTGAAAAATAGAAGAAGCAAGGCCTCTTCTGTGAGTACAGGTCTGTGTGCACACGTAGGAATGCAGGTCTGTACAGACAGCTCCCAGTAGTGGCAGCTCCGTGGAGATAAAAGCATTTTTAAGTGTCTGGTTGCTGTCCAAGGAACTCGCTGGATCGGCAGACTGCGTGGGTGGCTGGGGTGGGGGCACTTGCTGGGATTGGGGGTGAGGCAGTCTTCTGAATGTAAGACTGGGTGACAGCATGAAGTTGGCTTCTTTCCCTGGATTCTAGAATGTTGGAAGCGCTAAGGGTCTTGGCAACCATCTACTCACCCCATTCATTCATTCTTATTTATTTATTCAACATTTTTTGAGCACCTACTCTGTACCAGGCACTGTGTGGGCCATGAGGATATGAGGATTAGGGACACTCAGTCTCTAGCTTTAAGTGCTCTTTCAGTCTAGAGGGACACACACACACACACACACAAACACACCTGCCAGTGGCCAGTGGTCTTCTAGAAGGCTAAAGAGTGATAAGTACTAAGGAGAAGGAGCAATTAACTCTGCCTGCAGGAATAAGAAACACCTCATGAGCAAATGACTCGGGATCAGTCTTGAAGGATGACTAGGTGTTCTCCAGGCAGTTATTGGGGTGAACAGCATTTCAGAGAACAGAACATAAGCAAAGGCAGGGAAGTACAGTTGACCCTTGAACCACACAGGTTCAAATTGTGTGGGTCCACTTATATGTGTATTTTTCTCAATAAGTGTATTGGAAAATACTTTGGAGATTTGCAACAGTTTGCAAAAACATTTTCTTTTCCTTAAGATACTTTATTATAACAGTACAGTATATAATACACATAGCATACAAAATATATGTTAATCACTGTTCATGCTATCAGTAAGGCTTCTGGTCAACAGTAGGAGATTAGTAGTTAAGTTTTGGGTGAGTCAAAAGTTATACATGGATTTTTGACTGCATGGGGGGTCAGAGCCCTAACCCCCATGTTGTTTAAGGGTCAACTGTATTCACAGTTTGCAAAACAGTGGAAAGTGTGTTGCTCAAATGTTGGCTGCCTTTGTAGAAACTGGGTTCTGGAGAGGGGTGGTGGCTTGCCCAAAATGACACCTTGAGATGGGGTACAGCCAGGACTAACACAAGATGCTCTACTTTATCAGAAAACCAGAACATCAGAACTAGCTGAGTCTTTGAAAGACTCTAGTCCAAACCACCCATTTTTCAGACGAGGCAGCAGAGGATCATGGATGTTCAGTGTGTGCTTGGGGTCCCATGGTCCCAGGTGGGAAAGCTGGGGTTTGAAATATGATCTTTCTGATATCAAAACCTGAACTATTTTCACAGAACCAAAGCTGTTATCAGGGTGAGTGTCATCTCAGCTAGAGAGCAGAGGGCTCGGGCAAGGACAGGCTGGCCCTGTGGGACTGTGCATGTGGCAGCCTGGACCAGCTCCTGTCACGTTGTTGGCACTAACACTTGCACAGGAGGAGCACGGCTCCAGCAGGAAAGTGGGCTGCAAGACCATACTCTTGGTGGGAGTGGACTTGAGTCCTGCTTGCCCCAGACTCTCTGAGTGACCTTGGCCAAGACATTACCTCTCTCCAGGTCTTAGTTTCCAAGATCCTCTGTCTCAGAGGAGGACCCTCCGTGCCTACTCTCTGGGGCAGTCATTCTTAATGATGGAGGTGGAGAGGGATGATTTGAGCCACTGGGAGACACTGACAATGTCTGGCCACAGTTCTGATTGTCACAACTGAAGGGTAGGGATGCTCCTGGCATCTAGTGGGTGAGGACAGGGATACTGCTGTATATGCTACAGCACACAGGACAGCCCCCAACAAAGAATTATCCAGTCCTAAGTGTCACTGGCACTGAGCTGGAGAAGCCCTGCAGTCTGAGCCTTGTTTGTGAAGATCAAACGAGGCCACGAGGGTGGACACTGGGGGCTGTGCAGAGGTGCACCCCAGGCTGTAACACAGAGAAGCAGAAGTGGCCTTGATGTCGGGCAGATCTGGCATGTGGAGAGGTACTTAACCTCTCTGAGGCTTGGTTACTTCATCAGTAGAACAGGGGCAGTAATAATAGCACCTGTCTGGGAGACCGTTGAGAGCGTGTGATGAAATCACATATGCAGATGGCAGAGGAGCACAGCAAGGCAGGGAGTCGCGACCTCCGCCCCAGCCCCTCTGCTGCAGTCACGGGTCCTGAGCCTTTATGCTCAAGC